GAGATAAGCAAGAAGTTATGGAGGAAAGGGGTCAAGGTGCTCTATTTCAAGGTCTTTGATGGCACTTTTTCCCATCAGCATTTGAGCCAGGAGCCCCATATAGTCATTTTCCCCTGGATCTCGACGTTAAGCTGCCTCCACGATTCTCCCTGCCACTGAGTCAATCCTGACTTACAGTGACCCTGTAGGACAGAATAGAGCTGCCTCTGTGCGTTTCTGACACTGTAACTCTTTATGAGAGTAGAAAGCCTTTTCGGTCTCCCTTTGAGTGGCTGGTCATTTTGAACTGCCGACCTCGTGACTTGAAGCCCGTCTTGTAACCACTTCACAAATGCTTCCTTCCCCGGCTATCTATATCCCTGTGACCAAGTCTGGCCAGTGAAACATCAGCTGATTGACTGAAGAAGGAAATCAGACCCCGATGGGATAGTTTCCTTCTAGCCCTGAGCACTAACATCGTATCTGGAGAGATGCAGCCAGATTGTGATTGATCACAGGACAAGAAATAGTAGAACAAACAGCCACAAGGCCAAAATGTTGGAGCACAAATCTAAGGAGTCTGTGCTCTTGAAGGTACTGCTGAGGAACCAATGCCCGCAGCCACCAAGCGAGACTTTTTATGTGAGAAAGAGACTCCTCTACTTGTTTCGCTGCTGAGAGCCTCACCTTTGCCTATTGTCCCCTCCTCCCGCACTGTCACATGGGCCCTTCATTAAAGAATAGAGTTCTTCCAGCGTCTAGTCCTATGCTTTCCACCATGAAGGCCCTCTAAACGAGTCTCTGAGGCCACTGAGAGGGATGGGGAGGCAAATCCCCTACCAACCCTTCCCTCTGCTCCTCCTTTCTCTCCTTTAGCGCCTCCATCCATCGGTGCTCTCGGCCGCCGCCTCCAGGCGGGAGGATTCTGCGATGCTCCGCAGCATGAGGAGGTACTGGCAGAAGCAGCTTCAGCCACATCCCAGCAAGGTCAGGGCGTCAGCTCCAGCCCAGTCAGGTCACCCTCTGGCCCTTGTTGTTGCGCTAACTGCTGTGGAGCCAATCCTAAATCACGGCAAATCTGTGCACACCAGAACCATATGTTGCCCAGCCCTGTACCAGCCCCCACGAATCACGGACCGGAGGGTTGCGGTCTGTGGGTTTTCGGAGTTAGCTCATCAGGGCTTTCTTCCTCATACATTTCCATTCAGGAGCTTTGCTGAAACCGGATCAATAGCTCAGCGACACACCCACCTCTACTGAGAGTTGGGTGGTTGTCTATGTCTGAGTCTGATGTACCCTGGCTGGGATTGGAACCCACATCTCTTGCATGGACGGTGAGAAGGCTAGGACTGAATCGCCACTGTGCCCCTGTAACCGTTAGGATGGCCAGGACGCCCCTGTCTTACAATGAAGGTAAAATAATAATAGTTTATATAATTGGTCAAAAGCTTCACAACTATCCTCAGGCGGAAACATCATCATGAGGTCTCTCAGGGTGGGTCTCGGCCTGCCTGCCACCCCCTCCTACCGACCCTCAGGAAAGCCAACCACCTTGTTTTTTGGGCACTGTAAAAGCACACACAGTCATGCCCCTGAAGACTGGCACTGGGGGCATGATTCCAGTGCTGCACCTAGCACGAGGTAGAGGTTGAGTCATTAAACACACATTCCAGACACACAAGGGCAAATCATTAGATAACCTAACAAATTGCTGGCCTGTGTCCATCAGCAGTGCTGTAATGAGGACCTGCTAACAGAGAAGCTGCCGGGACATGGTTTTGTGTGAGTCGATATTTGGCATTTTGGTTCAGAACAGGAGTTTTAGTTCTTTTTCATAGAAGGGAGTTGGTTAAAGCATGCCATTTCCCAACACAAATTAAGCAAGTTCGTATGTAGCAATCTCCTCAGATAGTAATTGCTTAAATATTTACCAGGGATTTGGGAGGAGCACCTGTCTTTCACGGGAAGACTTTGGATTGAGCATGTTCCGGGAACATGGATCAAAGTCCTCCGCCCTCAGGTGACACGGGATTAGTCACACGCCTGAGTTAGCTGCAGGCTCAGTCCTTTCTCTTCGCTGCTTCCAGCACAGGAGGCACGAGGATCACCTTCAGTGTGGCCCTCTCTAGGCAGTTCGGGTATTGCTGTGATCGAAGAGCTTGAAATCACTGGGTGAAAACGTCTCTTTCATAGAACACAGGCTTGTGCAACAAAGTACAGTAGAGACTGCTTAGAGGTGGAGCAGATGGCAGCCACATAATCCCAGGAAGCATGAGCTAAACCTGCAGATGCCACACCGCAGAGTCTAGGTTCCTGTTTATTTGGTGTGTGTGTGTGTGTGTGTGTGTGTGTGTGTGTGTGTTTCCTAGCCAAGCACTCCACAATGTAAGAATATTTTCTGGGGGGAAAAAATCAGTACTTCTTTCTTTCTTTTTTGTTTTGATGTGAGCAATTTGGGGGACACTGCTTACATGTGGTTTTGGGTTTAGTTGTATTCGATGTCTAAATGAGAACCTCTGAAACACAGGTGTAAATAGTATCCCCCAATAATTTTTTTTTCAAAGCTAGGACCTTTCTGTCCAATGGTGGTACTTGGGTGGCTTGCATGTTGCTATGCTGCAGGAAGCTATACCAACCCTACCCCCCAAACTAGAAGGGCCACCCATGGCAGACAGGTTTCAGCCGACATTTCAGACAGATAAGCCTGACAACCTCTTGTGAAAAAAGGAGCCAATGAAAACATGGTGGATCTCAACAGAATACTATCAGATAGCGTGTTCAAAGACGAAACCCTGGGCTGGGAGGCCCTCGGCAGTCGCTCCCATCATGGATTCAAACATCCCAGGGATCATGAAGATCTCACCGGACTGGGCAACCTTTAAGTCTGGTGTACAGGTCACCTTGTGTTGGGGTCAACTAGACGTCGAATGTCAAGAGACTATGATGCTCGTTCTCCTTCTGCTTTGCAGGGATACTTCAGTAAGCATCTCCCTGTACTTCGTCAACAACAGTTGCTACTCTACCGAACACGGGGGTGAAGGGTGGCCTCTGGAAAGATCTTTGTAGATTCCGTTGCAGGGAGACTGCGCACAGGCCCGGTGGTGACACTCAAGAGCACGGGGTAAACCAGGCTCTCTGTGTGACGCTCTTAGAAGCGGCCTCCTCCAGTTCATCTGGGGCTCACTTTCAACTTTCCTGGAAGCTGCCTTTGTATGGAGTCATGTTTCAGTTAAAGAATTTGGGAGGAGATATAGCAGAGAGTAGGTAGGGCGGGAGTCCCGAACATTCCATGGCAGTAAATCACCACTGATATTCTCTGTCGCTGAGGGAGAATCTTGGGTGGCACAGTGGTTAAGTGCTGGGCTGCTAACCAAAAGGTCAGTAGTCTGAAACCACTAGGCACTCGGCAGGAGAAATACGTGGGGATCTACTTCTGTAAGGATTGTATCAACCCTTGAAAACCTATGGAGACCGTTCTGCTATCCTATAGCCTCACTATGAGATAACGTTAACTCCACTATAACAGGGTATGAGCTTTTGCATCTACCAAGGATGGGTTCATCTTACTCTTCAAAGTTGGGATTAACACCAAGATCTCTATATCCAAGCAAGGCCTGGCTAAAGGGTCATGTAGATCTGCCTAAAGGGTCACTCTCCAGTGTCAGGTATTCAGCAATATGATCCTCCCTGAATTATCTGCCCCTGACTGCCAGTACACAGCTATTTTAGTAAAGTGGGTAAAACAGGACTGAATGACAAATAAGGAGAAGCAGAGTGTAGAAGGTGTGAGTCAATAGTTCACTAATGAATAATTTTTATACCGAATGTCTGTAGAGATTTTATCCAGTAGATTCAATTCTCAAGAAAGGAGTATGTGAAGCTGAGAGAAGACAGCTAGATGACAAAGGTTCGTGGTTCTAGTTCACGAATTTCTGCTTTCCCCTCAGCTTTGTAACCAGCAAATTATCACATTATGTGTGATCATGCAACTAACCTTAAAATGATGTGTTTGTGGAGCAATGAATTACTTGACATGACTCTTCTAACCATAGTGTGTAACTCCCACCAAATGACTGGGTGGGATCAGGCCAATAAAGTGGAGGGATCTCTTGAGGGGATTGGTCAGATTGTCATCCCACTGGGCTTACAGGGGCCACCTCAGAAGTAGAAACAGGATCTCACTACATCAAGATTGAGGGGTGGAGTGTGTCCTTTGGATCCCAAGATTGTTGCACTGAATCTTGATCTGGGAGCCAGAGAACTGCGACAGCAAAGGAGTGATAGAGACACTGCAGCAGCATCAGTAAGAGCCAGAGCAACAGGGTAGAAAGGGGAGTGCCTTCAGGCAGGAGGCTTGCTTGTGGAGGGAATGCCCCAGCACTTAATTGGGAGAGCCAGGTTTGCTGACCCACGGAGCTAGACCTGAGCACCTTCGGTTTGAGGCATATGATAGGATGGTCATTGGGCATTTATCTGCAGTGCTAACGGACCTCTGTTAAAATTTTCCCTCGCAGGGCAGAGGTCACATGACTGAGAGGCTGAGACCCTAAGAGACATGCTTGCAATCACAGAGGGGCCCATGGTGACAACTCTATACAGAGCATTCCTGATCCTAAATTGCCACCCGTTAACTTCCCTAAGAACCCCCTCAATAATGACTATGGCCTGTGAGTTGTAGGGGGTCCTTGCAAGGAATGATCAAATTCCGCAGAGCGGTCGAGAGTGCTGTGTGGGAGGGATGACTGGTTAGAAAATTATCGGGTGGAAGCAAATCTGACCTCTACATCATAGGAATCTATAGAAGAAAACTGTTCTATAAAATTTCAGAAATTAAAAGATATCTATGGGAAGAAAAAGCTTCCTTTTTCTCCTGTAGAGCAGATGTAGACTTGAACCACTGACTGTGCAGTTTGCGAACTTAATGCTTAAGCCAACGCTTAAGAAACTTGTATCATTAGGCTTCAATGTCAACCTAAAGTGAGGGTAAACTATTAGAATAAACTGAGAGTGACACATGAGAGTCTGCCATTCCAGTTTATTGAAATGAGTAAATGTATAGCTTTACTTGCATACAGAAAAGTGCACCAGAGAAAATAAGCATGTACATAACAGTTGTACAGCTGAATATCACTTTCAAAATTTCACCTGCTTTCAAAAATTCAATGGCCTGACATCGTTGCCTCTAGTTTAGCACATTTTAACTATTTGGACATTTGACATACTATTTCAAGTAGGTGCTTATGATGACTGAGTAGGAAGCAAGATGGAAAATGAAACCATACATGATCAGTTGTTACCATTACTCAAATAACCGCAGCACTTTAGCGTGGACTACTGAGGGCTGATCAATAGACGTCCAGGAGCCCGCATCTTTTTCAGACCCTGAGCAGTCTTCCCCTTCTTCCATCTAAATGTAACATTGCATGTGGCTGAAGAACACCCACAAGGACCTGAGCATTAAGGGTCAAGGGACAACATTAACAAAAACAAACCAACCCCCTTCCACTAACATTAAAAACACCACCAACAAACAAAACTCATTTTGGCAAGTACAGAGCCTTCAGCACTATGCTAGCAGCCCTCCCCCCCACTCAATTTGGTCGACATCAGAGTTTAAATAATAATAGTAAATACGTTTTACAGCGTTCCCTCACTTAATCTTCCTGTTAATTATAAGATCTGAGACTTCGAGAAAGTTTTCCAGTTACTGGATAAATTAGACCTAGCACCTGATGTGTTTGGCATGATCCTCTCTAGCTCTGTGAAGCGTGCTCTTTCAAATAGTCCTTCACCGCTGAGTTGACTTCACCTCTCTTCAACATTGACTGCTTTTCTGAGCCTGCAACCCAACAGAGTGACCACTTATTCCATAGGAAGATGGAAGGTTGGGCCCATGTGCAATTCTCATTATTGGGATGGCAGAACTGCCCCAGCGCTGGGAATCATTAGCACTTTCCACCATTTCTTCCTGTTGCAGGTGGAAGGGAGGTAATGCTATATAAACCAGGGGCAAAATTGACTGAAAAGACCAGCAGAAGGAAAAGGAGAAAGAAATGCATACACAGTGCTTTCTTCTCCGCCCTTGCAATAGCCAACCAACACTGGACAAAAGAGCGTTTTGCCCGTAGGAGGAGATCAAGCTTCAGAAATACTGGAAGCCACCTCTTTCAAAAGGTCTTTAGATATGTTCAATCTCAAGATGCCAAAAGAGAAGGTAGACTGATTCCAATTTTACTTTTGAAAACTGGCCAGAAGCAAGATTTCTTTTTAGGAAGGTGCCTTGTTCCCCCTCCTGCCCCCTCCCCTGAAACATCTTTAGGGTTTGTACCCTAAAACAGAACTCCAAACAATTTGTAATGGTGCAGATTTGAAAATTTATTCAAAACAGTATAATCTGAGGAATTTGTGGTGGCTGCATCTCCCAACCAAAGAGGAGTTAATAGAGTATGCTAGAAGGTTCTAGGGATACAACAGGCAAAGGTTCCAGTAGGGACACTACTTCATTTACATGTCAGCTAGAGAATTTAGGTTCTTAACTTATTTAAAGCCATTAGCTCAGTTTAGCTTTAACCTAGACAGAAAATGAAAAGCGTTTTACAAAGGCAAGCAGCAGCATGATACAAGGCATCAGATAATATGTCAAAGCTGGAATAAGGTCAAAGGTCAGGACACGTCTGGCTATCAGCTATGTCCTGGATAACGCAGGTCAACCTTTTTGTTCCTCTGGAAGAGTCAGCATATCAAGTTCCTAGAGGGGGATAGAGAAGAACAAACCTGTAGTTAGAATTCATAAGACTGACCTGAGTCACTAGTTAAAATTCCAGGATAGTAAAGCCTAGGGCTGCTATGAGGAGCAACTAAGTGTAACTACACATGTGCTTAAAGTATCTGCCATTCTCCCGTGATAATATCCACCACTCAATGTAGTGGGTTGGCTGAAACTAGCCCTCCTTCCCCACCGAAGAAGAGAGGCCTCTAGAGAGAATTCTAGTCAGTCTGGTCAATGCTGGCCCCCATCCCCCAATCCTCCATGACACCAAACCAAAGCAGTTGCCACTGCGAGCTTTATGGCGTATATTATACTTTGACAATTATGGGTCGCCAAGAGTAGGAGTTGATTCAATGGCCAACTGGTAGTGGGGATGGACAGGAAACCACATTATTCTTAGTAAGCTTTGCAATCACTTCAATGTAAAAGTAAAGAGCCAGAAAGCTTTAGGTATCATACTGAGTTTTACCTGAACAGAACTGAAAGATTAAAAAAATACAAGATATGATAGAAGTTCATACTGCAAGGAGTTCAATACTATTTTTGATGTATGTAAAAATAGCCATGATTGAATTAGTTAAGTATGGATTTTCAGGTCTGTAAGTGCTAGGTTAATTTGATTTCTTCCCAGTTCTAAAGTTCAGTTTTTTGTCTCCTGTGCTACCCTACCCACCCAACCACCCCAAGATAGACTCACTAGAGTTTCTACTTACAGAAATTATGCAAACGGGTTTGCAAAAGAAGCTCTATATACATCAGGAGCTGCAGACTGAGGAGGGGGCAGCTAGGGAGATAAAACCATTCAGTTGATAAGTATTCAGACAGTCATTATTTTAAAAAAGTATGACTAAACCTTTTGAAATTCCTTTAAAAGCCAATCAGGTCATGGACAAGGGGACAGTATAAGGATCTTGCAAAGATTTGTGATTTCCTGCTAATAATTGTTTTTTGTAGCGACATTGAAATCGAAGTTTAGGTACACCATGCTTGCTTTCCCACATTGGGAAGGAAGTCTGTTTCTGGGCTCTAGAACCTTGTGTGTAAAACTGAGATCTGAAATCTTTGGAGAGATTTGTTTCATCGTGACAGCTGACTCAATTTTCTCCAGAAGTGCTTTCAGGAGCCAGGGAGTCACTGTTTCATAGATGAACTGACTTTCTCATAGTCAAAGGCTGGTAGTCCCTGTAAAAAGAGGAATCTTTCTGGATAGTTCTTAACGATAACTCTCAGTTAAAAACGCTTTGCCATCAACATTGTACCGGGAGAGCAGTAGCTGCCTGTGGCAAGCACATGGGAGCAAGAGCTTCCTTTAGTAGTAAATACTTACAGGGACTTGTGGCGATGCATTGAAAGGGTCTTTAGCGAAAGGGTTCTCAAAGGCATTGTCAGCAGATTGGGTGACTGGCCGGGCTCCTTGTCTGGGAACTGGCTTTGGGGGCTCTGGAAGGAGAACAAACGGAGCGGTCGGTGAACCAGCTTTCCCTGAAGAGACGCACACGTCCTTGATCATGAGGTCCAGACTAAAGGCCAGCAGCAACCCCACATTTGACATTTCAACAATCGTCCCAGGTACAGTTCAGGGACATGAATAAATTAGGTCCAGACTCCTGCTGGGAAATTTATATTAGCGGAACAAAAGTCACCACCAAATACCAGGATCCCCAATGATTTATTACCAGCAGTGTACCCCTTCTCAGAAGGAGGGATTCTGTAAACAGAAATAGAGTCAGAATTTCTTTGTGGCTATGGAGTAGGGAGTAGGTTTTCTTCTCTCATGCTCCAAATATCCAGCCCATTGTTAAGAGCCCAATGGCTCTTGACAGCCCTTTTAAGAACTGTCCCTAGAGATGGGACTCTTAAAAAGTTGCAAGTGGCCCTCAAAGACACAACAATTGGTACCTATTTGTCTGGAACCACAGAAGGAGGAGGAGGAGGAGGTGGACTGTGTGGCTTATTGCCTCCATCGACAGCTGCCTCCTTTGCCAGGAGACCAGGAGGACTGGATGGTCCCCGGCTACAATTACTATACATTTTAAATGAAGAATCATGATCAAAAGGTGGGGGCTTTCAGAGTACCGTGAAGTAAGACCATCTTTATACCATAAACCCAAAATGTCCCCTTGAAGGCTTCTTAAAAGTCAAGCAATAGTTCAGTTTAATGAGTTAAGAAGGCTTGATCATGATGCCCTTTTAAGATGTAGCTGTAGGGGATCAGTGCAGTTTCAGAGGTGCAGGAGTATAGAGTTTGCTGCTAACCCCAAGGTCTATGAGTCTAACCCATCAGGAGATAGATGTGGGAGATGTGGCCCCCTTCTTCCATCAGGATGGACAGCCCTGGAACACGATGAGGCAGTCCAATTCTGTCCTTTAGTCCCGATCAGTCGGAGTCGACTTGACCATGAGTTTGGTTTGGGGTTTATAAGAGATCAAATTGATAGCGACTAGAAAGGTTAGATAAGAACCTCAGGGCTCAGTGAGTTGACAACTTGGGAAAAGTGGGTGACAACAGTTGCACACACCAAGAATGTCACCATTATCTTTGAATATTTCCTGTAAACACTTGGTGTATTTTTTTTTGTTGTTGCTGTGTACAGTCTCAACAGCAATAAATAAAGGAATTAAAAAAAAACAACTGTCACTAGAGGGCAGCATTAGACCTGCCCTTAGTGATAACTAAGTACAACACAGAAATCCAGCTCCTTGGCTACCTCCATGAGGTCAATGCTTATGATGGCTGGATTCCTAGCCTAGGGTTCCCAAAAGAAGCACGAGCAAGACCCTTGGTGAGTAGCAGCGGGTTCTCTTGCGGGACCTCTTTGGGCTTATACCCCCCTGGTACTTGTGGTGTACAGTGGGCAGAGAAGTAAGTAGCTCACCATTGATCTTACTCAACAGTTGGTTCGCATCAAGGTCGTCCTGCTCCGCATTCTCCTGAGGAATGCCCACTCTGCTGTTGAAATAATTGGAGAAGGCACTGGACGCCCCTGAGGATGTCTGCTCTCCCTTCCTTGCGGGCACTGCAGGTGGCTGTTTCAGTTGCAAGTCCTTAAACATTTCTTTCACCTCCTTCACTTCTTTATCTGCAAGTGGGTCTAAAGCAGTGAAGGCATCATTGGAGATGTCCACGGGACCGGCAGTTCTGGGAGGTGGCTGAGGAGGGGTGACCAGGAGAGAGGGGAGCATGGAGGGGACCTGGGCTGACCCAGCCGGAGCTGGGAAAATATTGCTCTGGAAAGGATTCCCCAGAGAAGCTGTTGACGGCCAAGTGTTGGGTGCCGCAGAGGCTGAAGAGCTCCAAACGGTTGTGCCAGGAGGTGGAGCTGAGCCTGTGAAGGATGAAGGCTGATTCCAACCTCCAACAGATGGGCTCGTGCCAAAAACCAGTGGCTGGCCAAATCCTGCAAGCTGGCCACTCATCATGGTTGCTGGGGCCATTGCAGTAGGCTGATTGAAGACTAACGATGGTGGGGACCATGGTCCCGCCTGAGGGAGGGTGACTGGCATACCACCTGGAAGAAAGGGGGGGGGAAATGACTTCAAGAGACAGCTATAAAGAAGATTCTTTCTCTCTTTTGGTTTATTTTTTCCAGTGAGTTTGTTAGCCTTTACTCAGAGCTGGGCACGGCAGACAAGGCAGCGAGCAGCAAAGAACAGAATCGTTCCCAGAAGACATAGATGCTCTTTACAATCCCTTTAGACCAATCCACAGCAGAGGCTCCATCATCCCCTTCACTGAAGAGGAGCCTCTCCTGCGTTTCAGAAAGGACAACTCTGAGGTCATTTCCGTGGCAGCTGCCCTCAGTAAGCTTGAAGCCATAGCATAAGCTCGTATGGAACTACAGGCACATTCCATGTGTTTAAATCATTGCACAGCATAACCAGCTACTACAGAATAGCCCTCGTTCAAGTTTTGTTTGCATTGCAAAATCCATGTTCTTTCTTGGGGGAGTTTTCACGGGAAGGGCAATGAAGTCCATAAATATTCAGTCACGAAAAAAATATATAGCTATTTTAACATTTACAGGAATGTAGCAAACCAGAAACTGAGCCTGTCAATAAACTGTAGATGTTCCTGGGAGTGGTAGCTCTTGGTGGCTACGGAAAAGTGACCAGAAGACAAGGTCATAGCCAATTCATGCCAGTTCTGAAATAAGGAATTAAGATCATTCGTGGGGCACTCTCAGTAATCAATTGCATCTTTAATTTGGCAGTGGGCTCCGGTTTGAGGAGTCACAGGGAAGCCCACCCTCAGGCATGCGCCTCAGAGCTCCACATGTTCCCATCACAGAGTAACCATGTCAAAGCTTCCTCACTTTTAATGCTGCCGAGATCAACCGAGCAAGAGAAACAAAAGACAACACTTGGTTGGAGCCGAGAGAGTGCTAGACTTTCATGTGTCAAACCGAGGAAAGGCTAGTGATCTTGGGAAGACTGTATTGAATAACATCGTTTCCTGCCACGAGTCACTCACCAAACCTTGCCAGAAGTTACAGCGGTGTATTAAAGAGAGGAGGGGAGGGACAGAGAAGAACAGACAACAAAAACCTGTGCACTAACTAATTGCCTGTGTTGGAGCTGTCTCTGATCTTTGTGGGAGAATGTGGATATCTCCTGCTTCAATGCCATGTTGATTAGAAAAGAGTTAAATCAACTTCTTCTTTCTGGGAGGCCCATCCCTGCATGTTGTTCTTAGTATATAGGGCATTTTTCTTTCTTGACTCTTCCCAAATGTATTAGCAATCCAGTGAAATGCTCACCATTAACAGAAAACCCGTGTCAGTCTCATTCATGGATGAGACGCTGTTCTCAAAACCTACTTGCTTTTTGCCCTTTGAAGAGAGTACTTTTGAGCTATCCAAGTCTTCTAAGTAAACCAAAGAAAGACTTCCCAAACTTTTGTTAGGAATACTTTGGTTCCTGGGTCAGAAATAACTAAGATAACAGTGTTTCAGGTCCTAAGAAGATGTCCTATCTTTAAAGGTTTCATAGCACTGGAGATTGGTGCTGACTTCCCCGAAGAGTGTCATCATGAAGTCTAGCCATGTCTGGCCACGGCCACATTTGGTCTGTTCAAGGTGTGGAAGGCTTGAGATAAGGTCATCATAACATCCGTGATGTTGAAGTGAGGAAACTGGATATCAGAAGGTGGATTCAATTGTGCAAGTCACAGTCTGGACCAGCCACCATTAGAACCCAGGAATGCTAGCTCGGGAGCCAGCACCCAGCCTCCTGTTTTGTCTCCCTGGCAAAGAGAGAATGATTTTTCAAATGGGTGTTTAATGTAAATACTTAGATACCAGAAATAGAAGGTAGACTTCATTAGCATCATAGACTATACTCCTTTCACAGCTGACTAGGAGAAATGGCCTCTCAGCTTCAATAATACAGGCTTGTAACAGTGGCTTAGTTTGAACAAAGTTATGGCTAGCATTTAAAAACATTGATTAAAATGCCATCACCCCAAGTCAGAGTCCCTCACTAATAGTTTCCACCAAGTGGATAGGCTGAGCCATAGGGGATACATTTTATCATCTGTCACACTGGACTGTTTGCCTTCCCACAGGAAAATGTGTGGCTTTAGTCATAGATGGTATTTGTGGGAGTGGTGGTCAAAGAGAAAAATAGTGTATCTGCCAAGAGTTCAAGGCTTTCCCTGTATAAACTGATGCCAGCCTTCATTCTCATCCACCAGATGCCACCCACCATGTTTCCCAGCTTGTAAGGCACCACTGGAGAGCGTAAGGGTAAGAGGTAAGGAAAAGGAGAGTGGGTATAAAAAGTGGATTTTATTTTCTTCTGCAGTGAGGTTAAAACACAGGGCAGCAAGTCCAAGCTGAGAACTCAACCCTCCCCCCCGCCCCCCCTCCACTTCTCCACCAGAGTCTCCCAGCTGGCTCCAGCGGAAGCCAGGCCTGCAACCTTCCATGGTTTGGCTGAGCATCCCGGCTAGTGGACGGGGGCTGGACTGTGGAGCTCCATTTGAGAGCCAAGTCCAAATGTGAGGAACCATCGGGATTCTGCAGTTGTAGACCCCGAGGCCGCAGCAGAGGCACCTAGCCAAAAAGCTTCACTTTGTCTGACTCAACGAACAGTTATAGGGTCCAGCTGTATTTTCAGGATGACTCCTTAAACATTGGCCATAAAAACTCTTTAAGCCATTGATAGCAGACTACAAAGCGCTGTGATATGACCTGCTCTTGTCTAGGGCCCTGCATCAAGCTGTCTGTCCTTCTGAGAAAGGGAAGCACCAATCAGTTCTGTTTCGTGGTGCTGATGGTGGCGGTGGTGGTGGTCATGGGGATTGTGTGTGTTGGAGGGTGGGGGGAAGCTATGGAGACAGAGGGGAAACCCCAAAGAAACCCGAAGCAATTAGAATCTCTTGATGCAAATGCAAGTATGGAGTTCATCCCCTCAGCCGTTGGGTTTAAAAAACAAAACCAAAAACCCATCTCCCTATGCCAGATAGGACGGGACCAATTTAGCAGGACAGAATCAAAATATTTTTCCTTACAGGAACACAGCAGAGATGGGAGAAAACAGGATCGTGATGACTGGCTCGGCAGGAGGCAAGGAAAGCCATGATCCCTGGTCCAGTTTTACCAAAGAGAGCAGAGTGCTTCCCCTCTCACTATTGCTACCTCCCTCCCAAGGCAGCTTCTATTTGGAGCTTGTAGGGGTGCCAAGAAGCAGGAAAACAAAGAGTCCCCAGCAGGGTAGCAAAGACTATTGTTGGGATTTCTCAAAACTGCACTATGGAGTCAGAAGAAAGTAGCAGGGCCAGCTCTCAGCCAACGGGTCTTCCTCCTCATCCTGTCACTGCGGGGCTCGATGGTGCACACGGGTTACTGACGTGTTCGTGGAGGAGAGTCTCACATGCATTAGGTCTCTGATAAAACCCCATCTCCTCTCACTTAGCAATGGCTTCTCTCAATGCCAGGCTTCTAATACTTGTCTTCTGACTCTACTAAGAAAGTCACCTAAGCAAAGAAAGTATCAGCAAAGAGCCGCTAAGGGTTTAAGTGTTCAGAGATTTATATGCTAGTTCATAGCAACCTAGACCCCGGAACTTCCCTCCTATGTCTGACATTTGCTGCAGACCTTCTCTAGTCGCCTTCCAAACAAGGGGCATGCTGCTATTCTCTCCGACAAGGCTCTCGCATCTCAACTCCCTTTCCTCACGGAAGCTGGTTTGACCTTTAAAGTTCTTTAGAGCTGTTTTCCAGGAAGCTGTTGACAGTTGGGTTGGGTAAATAAAAATGTGGAAAACGGTCTCTGCTTACATGGCTAATGGGCCAAATTTTCGTTACAACTCAGGAGTCTCGAGGGTGGTGGGGTGCACAGAGTACAAGTGGGAGAAGGGCTTCCCAAGGCTCAACTCTGATGTCCATGGACCACCCTATGTCTGTGAAGCCCCTTCCCCCATTTACTTTTAGGTTATCCATGACAACAACAGAATCACACTGAACTCCATCTCTAGGTACCTACCTAGACCTGCGAGGGGCCCCATGGGGACAGTGACACTTGTCTTGAAGAGATCCAGAGGGTTGGCCTGAGGGGCTGCAGGTTGGCCTGTAGGCGACGTCTGTCCTGGAGATTCTGAGGCAGGAGGATCAAAGGGGTCTGATGCCAGCAAGTCATTCGCTGAAGACTGACAGGACAAGGAGGGAAACAGAGGAGTTACTCAACAGAGGAGGGAACCCAGCATTGGTCTTTCAGTCCCCGCTGCAAAGACATTTTCCTTTTACTAATAAACAACGAGTGCTTACACACACACACACACACACACACACACGCACGCACGCACACACACACACACACACACACAGATATCTGCAATGGACAAAATATAGGATCTCAGCAACTGATACAACCTAGGACTCTCGACGTGTCATCTCTCTTGCTCATCCACGCATTCATCAGTCTCCATATATCAGCTAGATGCTTGCAGCAGGGGACGAGAGGGCAACAACCAGAGATAAGGTGCCTAAATATTTTTGATCATTGTACTGGCTTAAATCAGTCTTCACAGAGAGGGTCTGAGCCTTAACCATTAGGTCAGGCTGTAGGTTTCAGTGCCAGATCACTAAAGATACCTATAGGTCAACAGTTCATTTGAAATGACTTGTCAGGAAGCTGCACTTGAGAGGCAGCAGCAAACCTATGAGTCTGTCCTGAAACAATGACTTGTATCATCAGCATTTAAAATTGGACACAGCCACATGGGGCGTCAAAGCACTGTGGGAGGTGCGGGAGAACAGGAATCACGAGAAGGCTTGCCCTCCCCACCCAGAACATGGTGATCAAACTTACCAGAAGTACAGAAGCATAGCAGCATTAAAAATGGAAAAACTCGTGTTTAGTTAATAAGAAGTGACAAGACATGCAAACGGAAAGCAAGGTGTGACACACACTGCTGAGTGAGAGGCTGAAGGAGGATGGCGATTAGAGAAAGATATTCCTGGAGAACTGATACATCTCGTCCCACCTTCTATTTTACAGCCACGCAGGAAGCTACCAGAGCAGCAGGAAAAAGAGCGTCTCTCACACCACCCTTTGGTACCGAACATGCATTCTGCCAATGGAGATGTGGAGAAGACAATTCACCTTAGTAGTCCTTCTGCCTCTTCCTGGTTTGGTACTTTGTGGAGGTGGGATAATGGCTATGGAGTCATGTGGTGAGGACTGGACAGGGCTATCCAAGTCCTGCTTTAGGCCATTCGGTACTGACAGTCCTTTGGAAGGGCTTCCCACAAAAGGGTTCGGGGAGGATTTGATATGGAGACCGTTCTGTTCTCTTTCAGATACCCCATTTTGAGTTCTCACTGCTGGCTGGGGCTGTGTGCTTGGAAGGGGCCACTGGCCTGCCTGAGCCTCCTGTTTGCCAGTCCGGTTAGAGATTTGGTCAAATTGCTGGCCAAAGTAATCAACATCACCATTCAAGGGCCCATTCCTTTGTAGAGGAGAGAGGCTACTCAAGTTCTCGTTCTTCGGATCTGGAGATTTGAGAGAATCAAACGAAGAGGGTGCTGATTGGTCAGGCTGAGTGAAAGGGTCATCCCGGAAAGGATCGGGGTTGGGGGTGGGAAAGAAGTTGAGATTGGCAGAAAAGGCATTGTCAGGCAAGAAGGATGCCTGAGGCTTTGGTCGTGGAAGAGAGCAGGAGGTGGTGCCATTGGTTAAGAATGGATTTTCTCTTAGAGAATTCTGATTGGTGTCGATTTCTGAGTTTAGATCCACTAACAGGATATCTTTGCTTTCCTATTACATTTGGAAAGAGGAAGAAGGAGAAAAAAAAAAAAGAAAGCGTTAGTCCATGTTGCGACTTCACATAAGAAAGTTACATAAGATCGCCAGGTTCATCAAAATTCCTGTTGGAATCTGGCCTTGGCAAACGAGTTGACCTTCATCTACTCCCATCATCTCGCTGTGTGCTTTTGCCAGCTGCTGTCCCTTGGCCAATGCCCTTTTATTCCATTCTCAACGTGGTCAGCCCTGCATTCAGCCAACCAGTTTATTTATCTATCTGTGCAGTCTGCTTCACACAGACACATGGAATGAGCTCACGGTTTTTGTTGTTTCAATCCACGGTACAGGACGATGCAGGGAGTCTAACAATCCATTCCTTGGAAGAAGTAACTTTCTAAGTTTATTGAACTTTGAAGTGAGACATGACTTCAGGTGGCCAACTCAAGCTTGCTGACACCGTCTCGGTTCACCTCTCTCAATGAGCGACTGAGCAGCTTACCACATGCCTGCTTTATCATTACGGCTTTTAGAATACATTTCCCCATAATTTGTCCCATGTTCTCCTTTGGGATGGGGAGTGGAAGTTTCCCCTTACCTAACAGCTATCTACTTACTGTGCTGCGGAAATATTTATGATTCTTATTAAAGGTGCTAGCCAGGGTGGCTCCCTCATCCTCACCATTCTGGCCTCTCCTTTAGGAATGACCCTTGTATTGAGGCCCTTCTAGGAAAGTGACACTGACATCACTGGTATCATTTAGCATAATAGATCACATAGACCTCCCTTATTGTACAATTTCTTATAAGATAGATTAGACATGCCTAGCTTTCCCTTATCTAGTGAATACTTAAACTAACACCTAGTCTTGAAGTTACATGTAGAATGGAGGGATGGATTTAGGACACTATGCAAAAGGCATACAAAAGTTATAAATCTTACAGGTATGCCTTGTGTAATGTGTCCATAGTCCCATACTTTTTAAAAAAGGAAATAAGCAGGTCTCCCTCTGGCCCTTGTGGTGCTGTTGAGTAAGAGTGAGGCTGCTAAAAGCAAGGTCAATGGTTCAAACCCACCAGTCACTCTTCAGGACAGAGATAAGACTATCTGCCCCCTTAAAGAGTTACAGTCTCAGAAACCCCACAAAGGGTCACTATGAGTCAGCATTGATGCGATGGCAGTAAGTTTGAGGCAATAATTTTATATAGACCCCGGAATCTAGACACTTGCAATATGGGATCATAGGTAGGATGCAGGCAGGTGAGACTCATGTGGTGGCTTTGAGAGCAGGCTCCTGGGCTTTGTCCAGGGGGCAGGTAACAGCCAGGGTGGTGGGGGCGGTGGGGCTAGGCTGCTCCTCATGCTGGGGCAGAACAGTGTGTGGGGCTCTGCTCCCGCTGTGCTCCTGGCCACGGCTCGTCCACTGGTCCCCAGCATCAGCTCCAGGAACAGCAGGACAATGGGACGCGGGTTCCCATAAGCTTTTCACATGGTGAGAGCACAACATCCAACTCACTGAAGAACCTACTGCACAGAACATCCCATGGGTGTTAAATGATGCACACGCACCTGTCGTTCCTATTCCCTCTCTGTGTGTGGACTGTGTTTACTATCAGGAACTATGGCAGTGCAGTGGTTACTGGTCGCACTGTGAACTGCAAAGTCAGCAGTCTGAAACCACCAACCACTTCTTGAGAGAAAGACTGGGCTCTCTACTCCTGTAAAGAGTTATAGTCTGGAAAGGCCAGGAAGGCGTTCTCCCTGTCCTTGGGATGGCTGTAAGCTGCAATCAACTCAATGGCAGTGAATGAGTATTTGTTATCTGAGTGCACAATTATTAGGTAAGATAACTTTCCTGGCACAAATGCAGCAAATTCGATGAATGAACACAACAGATCTTTATTAAAGTCAATGACATGACTAAGTAGGATTCGTCCTAAAATGGAGCTGTCATATTGACAAACCATTCAACCAAATGCTTTTGATCCACTCAAAATTTCACTATGCTAGCTACAGAAGCACACGAACAGTAAACCATGCCTCCCTGAAATGGAAGTGAGAGAACTAGCATTATTTTGACCAGATTACTAATTATTTTTGATCACAGATGATCAAAACCACTTCAAGGGAATATGAAATTCTCAAAGCAAAAATTAAAAAGAGAATCTTGGCTTTTAAAGAACAAGTCGAAAGTGTAGGTCATACTTTGTGGCCGCAGAAGAGACAGCAAAATCAGACCTAATGGGATTCTACCTTCTGGTTTCTTTTATTAAGGAGCATAAAAACACAATTGCTAAAAATCAAGTTTTCTCTTTATAATCAGAAAACGTTATCAAAAGAAACAACTTGCAATTAGGAGAATTTCTGATAAATCAAATCAATTAACTGGGATAGCTCAACGTGGGATCACTGTTTAATCAAGAGTAGGTGGGCAAGGTTTATTACAAAGCTTGTGATTTCGGGGTTCATTATGTTCAGATGAGCCACCTCTTGGTTAGCACAGTGGGGTGTTCACTGCGGGCAGTGTTCGGCTTTTCAAGTACTTCGGGAGAAGCTCTTAGGGCACCAAACAGGAACCACAATGTTAGACTTCTGAATAGTCACCCTACAAGTAAAATGTATAAGGCTCTCCTCAGTTTGGCTTGTTAATCCGAGACTGATTGTCCAGTTCAGAGATTACACCCAAAGGATATGAGACTCCTTATGCCCCCCTCTCCCCTCCTCCCCGCCTCCCCCCTGCCCTTGGTCAGAGCCTCATTCATTTCTTCCTGAACTGCCAATACTGCATCCACTCAGCCATATTTGAGCTCCTAAGAGACTAGCACTAGCCACGTGAAAGTGACTTTGTCTTTGCTCTCAAGGAGGCAGGGAAAGGTGGGGTGGCAATGGCGGGGAGGACATGTGGGCAACCAAGAGGTATATCTGCACAAAGGTAAGGTTTTTAAATGCTGAGTCCCATAACCTAGATGTTCTGCAAGTAACTAATCTAATTGGACCATTCTTCCTAGCAAGCCTGCTAAATCCTGCACTGCCTTCCTACCAAGTCTTTGGTGGCTGCCAGCTGCCAATGGCAAGGACAGCAGCTTGCAACCACCCGTCTCGTACACCTTGGAAGAGGGGCCGTTCCTCTGTCCTACAGGGTTGCTATGAGCCAGATTGGATGGGGTGGCAGTGCCCTTGACTTTTATCTACAATGAATCCCAATTTATTTCTAGTCTAATTACTACCGATTTTCCTGTAAGCTTCAAAGTGCCAACTCAAACGCTGATTCCTTATAAAGCTTTCCCCCATTAACCCTCATATTTCAACCTAAACTTCAACTTCACCGGGACCACCCTGTAGTGTTTTATGTCTATATGACACTTGTATATATGACAAATCCCTTATACCAGATTTAATCTCCTTGATAGTGGATTATGCCTTAACTCTTCTCATAACTGCTTTTAATGTTGAAGTTAGTGAGCATGCCTTTTCATAGGACTTTTCTGGTCTTCTTTGCAGTGCAGTATAGGAAGATAATGCTCAAGTGATTTCCAACAAAAAGTATGCTTTAATGGCTCACTATTAAGTTGCAAGATAAGCTTTCAACGATTCTGGGTACTTTTTGGGTGGAGCAGAGCCGATGAATCAGGGACATCACTAAAGAGACTGGATCATTTAGATTTCTTTCTCTTTTCCATCTTTGAATGGGTTTTGCAAGATATGAATATTTTCAAACATGCTGGTCTGATCAAGCAGAGAACAACCCATTTTGTCATCTAGAGATACAGAGCTAATATGTAGAAACATGTTGCTCAAATCTAACCAACACACAGTAAGGCTTTTTTTCTCACTTACCACAGAGGGGGCTTCCAAATGTTTGTAGACAAATTCCATTCTCTTTTAATTCCGGTCCCCCAGCCAACCCCGCCCACAAGCGTTTGGAAGCCCCTTCCTTCATTTGCGTTGGTGGGTTTTGCTTTCATTGCCATCAGTTTAACTGAAACTTGTCCGTTTTTCCTACCGATCTCAGCTTTCAATTCTGAGGATGGAAAAAACGTTGTTTTTTCACTTCACTTTTCAGAAGTTCCTAGAAATGTATGGAGCCAATTAAATAGTTATGCTTCCTTGCCTGATCTACTGGAGTTCGACTGACTATGGGGCACTTTACTCTCAAGATACTTATTTGAATGTCAACTATACTCAGAAGTTATGGGCCTAGAAATGAAAAGAACCTCAGGACCAGGATAAATCTTTCAGTTCAAGCTAATTCAGTGTTTTCAAATGCTCATCCTTTGCATGGCCATACACACTAAGGGGAACGAAAGGTTCTATGGAGTTAGGGCTTTGCGTGGAAGAACATTACATGAGCTTCTCAATTGTGGCACATAAGGGCTTTAAAATGCTGCATTGCATACTATGATTCCTTTAGGATTGGAATCAGAGAAGAGTATAGGCAGTCCCTCTCCTCCCATCTCATTTGAACCTGACTGTTTTATGCAGTGAGATTTCACAGGGCTGACAGTCTGCAAAGCTCTGTGGGAGGTTAGCATCTCACCTACTCTTTCTCTGCTGCTTGAGTTTCTGTGATCTTGGTTAAGTAGACCTGCTTGGCAATTCCCAGACAGAAGATTCTCCTAGACAGACACCATCCCCACGGTTCTCAAAGATTTCCTTTTGGCCAAGTTATTGTTCTCTCTTGTTTCATGGTCAAAGCAAAGAACTCACTTTCTTAGAAGCATTTTCTGAACCTCTAAACCGAGAAATACCCTGCACTGTGACATCATGCCACTCCACGGCAGTTAATTAAGTTGGCTTAATGATTTGTTGTAATGCTGGTCTCCCGTCTACATAGTAACTCCTCAATGTCACTGGTGCTATACACCCCACTCATTGCTGTCTCGAAAAAAGCAAATACTCGAGCACCTTTTGAATGAAGGATAGACGTTGAAAGATGCCATGCAACATAATATGGGTATTTTCATTCCTGGCCTGTTTGGGAAAGAAAATTCCTGGGAGATGTATCCCTTGTTTGAAGAAATACCTTTTTTTCTGAGCCCCACATCTCAAGTCCATAAAGAAAAAATTCTGCTCTACTCTCATAGGATTGTTATGAAGCAATCAATAGCAAGAAGACTTCATAAACTCTATCATGTTAATAATCAACATTTCTTTTCCTAACAGAATAGGCTTTGGGTAAACATAGGCTTTGGGTGTCTTGCTTGTGTTGTCTTAATTTGTGACAAGCGTATGCTGCTCAATTGCACAGAAAGAGTGGTAGAAAGCAGAGAGGCCACGAGGGCTTATTCTCTGCTATGCTCCTTTTAAGTACTTTCATTCCGAAGGTTTGATCCCGTTCCTTCTTGTCCCAAGGACTACCAAGGAACAGTGGAAGGCCTGATCTGATATTCAGATTTTACCTCTTAAGTAATATTAACATATCGGACCCACTGATAGTGACTTCAAATTCAAATTTGTTCTAGCCGCCATTTACACAGTATGTAGCAAAATCAGAAGTCATCTTCCATGTTTCAATGAGAGGTTCAGGATTTCTGGTTAGTTGTTGATTTGGGTTATAGATGCCATTTTCAGTATATTACAAATTTAAAAACAAACACTTACTGTTGGGCTATTTAGGTCGGGTGGTGTAGACATGTCCCCAAACAAATCCATCTGGTCAACTCCCTTAAAAAAGTATTTGGATTAGATTCAGATGTGTCCACCAAAAAAGATTAGTTTGTATATTGAAGCAAATATTTCCTAAATGAGTATTTAGGAAAAATAGTTGTCACAATTGATTTTCCTTTTACTGGTACAGACTTGGTATTGGGACATTTAAATCAGGATGTGTAGACATGTACCCAAATAAACCCATCTGGTCAATCAACATCCTTTTTAAAAAAAGTATTTTGATGAGCTTCAGATGTGTCTACTCAAAAGATTACTTTGTGCATTTCCATAATGTTAAATAAATGCTTGGGCAAATAAAGGATATAATTGGAATGTCATTTAACTCAAACAGATTTGATATGAGCAGCATCTACAGTAAGTAGCACCTGTGTACAGGGAAGCAGGAGTCTTCAAACATCACATACATACCAATTTCAGTTTGGTAGCTTGATCGTCAAGAGTCAACAGTGCCTCACTCCCATTCTGAAAAGATGGCAAATATTTCAGGGTTTAGTTGATGAGATTTTTGCCTACAGCTTTTGACTTCCTATTGTATTGACTTGCTAGACAGTTCTGAGCTGGGTAATGATCATTCAACACTACATCTTCAGTGCCACGGGTCATGGGCATGTGGTGAGACACTTGGGGTCCAGAGTGCTTGGATAGTTACATGGGAGCTTACACAGATCACACATATATTTCACTAGAAGTAAAGATGCAGGTTTACCTCTACTGCTTTGTTGGCTTCTTCAGTCTGAAAATGAAAAATGAGAAATTCAGTGGTCTGGGTCATTGTAGCTAAAGGGAGTTTAAAAGAACAAATGCACTTATGATTTCATGGGTATAAAACACGAGGATCTTGCAGATGACGTTTGCTCTGCAACCCCACTCTTTTTCATATCAATACTTGATTTGAATACATTTTTGAATTTAAATGTGTCCTGTATATTCCCTTGAATCAATATGAAGTTGTTGGAAGAAAAGAAAACATCGCTTGAGACTACAAATTAGAAGTGCCCAACTACAACTGCCTTCCACTACCTGATCGGGAAAACAGAAAAAAAAATTGGAAATCTCTAGAGAAGTCCTCTGTGTACATAATGTTCAAAGATGGCTCTAAAGACAGATAGTCCCCAGGTTATGAGTGTCACTGGCCCTTTAAGGTTATGGAATTTGTCCTCACTTTGAAACAATTGAATGAGCATCCAAGTTGCAGCATATTCTTCATAACAGTCACCTTTCCTTGCTATCTGTACAGCTTTCAAAACGTTGAGGAGGCTTAGATACTTGCACTAACATCAGAGGAAATAAAGATCCTATATTCCTGTTGTGACTTGCTTACAGATTCAACTTCAAGACACACTTCAGAGCAGATCTTGTTCGGAACCCAGGGAGTGCCTGTATGGTCTTAAAGGTAATGGAGCCCATTTTCTGCGGTACTTGCCTTTTTCTTTTCTTCTTCCTTTTTCTTTACATTATAGATAACTTGAAAAAGGTCCTTAAGATCAATCACTAGTGGTTCGGCCTGAATGGAAAACAATGCATTAGTATTTTAATCTTAATATTTTCCCCTGTGCTTTCCCCATCAGTTCTGATTGGTGCAGGTTCCCCCCTTTCTCTTAAAACTCTTCAAGGAGCCCTGGTGGTGTAGTGGTTACACATTGGGCTGCGATCCACATGGTGGGCAATTCGAAACCACCAGTAGTTCGGAGGGAGAAGACTGGGCTTTCTACTCCAGTAAACAGTTACAGTCTCGGAAACCCACCCGGGGCCTCTATGAGTCAGCACTGACTCCGTGGCAGCGAGTTTGATTTCTTGAGCTTAAAGCTCCTCTGTGCCCTCCTCCCCTAGTTTCTTGACATCCCCATCATATGTCAAGGACAGCAAGGTTAATAGATGCTGTTTCTTTTAAAAAGAGGTATCAAGATCCATTTCTAAGTCCTTTCAATGTTCCTAGGACTAATTTGCAATCATTCCAAAAGAAGCAATGACCTCAAACCAAAGCCCATTTTCACAAGCCTTGGGTCCCTTCTATGGGAGATTAAAATGGCATTCCTTAGGTCACACACACTGACTGTTTTCCTTGAGGTTTCTGGTAGACAGACAGACACACCATACCCCACTGCACTGCAGTGCTCCCGTAGGACCATCAGGTTTCCAATCGTCCCAGGAACAGATTGCCACCCCTTTCTCTGGCAGCCCAGTTTGTGGGTTTGAACCACTGATCTGTCAGTTAGCAGTCAACAGCTCAGCCATTGGGCAATCAGGCTCCTTCCAGTAGCGGACATGTTCTTAGGTATACTTCAAGACCGAGCACTTACCTGTTGTCCTGTTTTTATGGCAAAAAACTGGTGCTGGCCTTCTCCTCCACAGACGTAACCGAATGCCCGGTTGTCTGTCACATCGCGGGCGATGAAAGAAATTTTATTCACTGGGTGCTCATGCTCTATTACCTACAATAGGGAGACGAAGATGCCTTGAGTTTCTTTGTAGGCGGCTACAATGAGGCCGCAGATATGAAGAGGCTAAAACAACTGGCGAAAGAATGCGTAGCCTCTAGTTGAAGGCGAGAACTGTGTTGACCTTGCTAGAAGGGGTGCCAATAAAAGGAACTCCATCATCGGTCTCAAAAGAGTCAATTCTGTCCCACACATGTCTTTGAAGACCCCAGTCTTTATCAGGACGGACAGCCTCATCTATCGCCTCAGAGTGGCTGGTGGGTTTGGACTGCCAATCTTGAGGTTAGCAACCTAGTCACCAGCCCACTTACCACAACTGTCCTAAAATGTAAGGGGGCGAGGGGCGGGGGGGGGGGGAATAGGAATAACGTGCACTCCTAACATCTTGATGCTTGGTCTTCCATAGTTCAAGGACATAACAAGGAAGGCCTGAGAACTAGGAGATCAAGAATGTCTAAAGTTAGTCATCCATCCCCTAAACCAACCCCAGCGGGCCTACTTTCCCAACTCCGAGATAAACACACACGGTGAGCACTATTAAGCTAGCAGTGTCCCTAGAGATTCTTTGTTAATGGCTTAGAACAAGTGACCAAGGAACAATACCAAGAACCGCTGTATATTAGAACATGTATCCCTCAGTACAACCTGGAGATTGGGGCATCAAGTGTTTCTCAGCCCCATGACATCAGGGTCATTACTCAGGAGTTCAATGTGGTGGGGGCTTAGGGATTTCGTAGTACTTTGTGCTGTGTTTTTTTAAATTTTAATTTTTTACCTCTTTTCTTTCACACGGGTCAAATAAAAATCAACCCACTGCCAATGAGGTGATCCCAATTCATAGGACCCTTATATCGGGTTTCCTAGACTCTAAAGCTCCACGAAGGCAGACATTCTCTTTTTCCTCCCACCGAGCAACTTGGGGGTATGAACCACAGACTTTGCACTCCCTAGTGCAACATCTACCCGACAATGCCCTCAAGTTAATAGGATCAACCCTTCAGGAAGAAGTCAGTTGACTGTGTTTGGGCTTTTGTTTCAAAATGCCTAAGATCAGTCAACAATTTCTATTGGGCATCCCTGAAAGTTTAAGCCGAAAGACTATCTACTCCTGTTCTTCAGTAGAGTAGGAAATACATGAGTTGAGAGAAGGAAATATGAGAGCTGGAGCGTGGGTTCTCATGCCTGGGACCTGAAGACAAACAGGGGCAATGGGGAGGTAGCAGGGTCCCAGAGCTCCACCCTTCAAAAGCTGATTTTGCACATTGGTAAATGGCATCTCTTGGAAAGGGTGAAGGCTTTAGGGTGAAGGGTATAGTCTCAGCAGTGCCTTGAGACTATAGAATATGAATGAAAATGACCATATGCAATATTTTAAGTGGCTGAATCTTATATTGAGTAGAAAGAAAATTCCTCAAAGACTTCAGTCTTTTGATGAGGTCCAAAAAAACCAAGCAAAACTGTTCATGTGTGTGAACACAGCTACCACAAAAAATTAGCAAGTAACCTCTGTGTGGTGAAGGAGCAGGGATAGCAAGATTACACAAACAAACGTGGATAGAGCTAACACTCTGGCTTCTGCCCCACCCCAACAGTCCTACTGGCATGATCTGCACATATCATACCACTCTAATTTGATCACATCAGGAAGAGCTGTACAGTCATCACCAAGTCAGTTTTAGAACAAAATACAGAAAAAAACCTAACAAGAATACAAAGTAAAACAGATAAAAACCTTAACTGAAAAAAAGCAGAAAATATTAAAAACTTGAACAAAGTTAAGTGGATCAGAAGGGAGATCAAATGAAAGGATACCAAGTTTTCATCTAACCGCATCTGGAGCAATCCACTTTCCAGTGCCTGTCTGCATCCCTGATCCTTGCATCCCTGATCCCTGCATCCCTGATCCTTGGTCAGAGAGGATTCACCAAGGGCTTAACTACAGGTATTTACCCTTTTCTTGTTCTTAAAACTGAAAGAGCTTTAAAATGGATCAAAAAGGAGATCAAACGGTAAGATATTACATTGTAACCCAACCACATCTGCCGTGATGGACTTCGCAAAGCTCTCTGTCTTCTGGCAGGGCTACTCACATCCCTCCACGATGATCGTGGCTGAATCCGTGTGCAGACCCTGTAAGTGAATTTTGGGCTTTGACTGTCATCCATAGCTTTTTGCAAATCAAGTGTTCACAATTTAAGCTCTGATGCCATTTCTTTCTTTAGATTTGGATGATATTGTTTACAATCCTTGGCTCACACAGGTTAGTGTGGTTCTTCTACGTGGACACAGTTGACACTTTACTTAGATGGCTGCTTGTTTGAAGACAACCCTTTAAGACACCAGAGGCTATTTTTTTTCTGATAGCCAGGCACCATCTAGTTTCTTTACCACACTTTGTTATAGCATCCAGTCTTCAGTGGTCTCTTCCTGATGATGAGCATCAAGCAGGGCCATGTCATAGGAACTAATTGTTCTTAGATTGGTGCTGGAATTAAGTGCACGCCCCAAATCCATTCACGTTTATAGATGTCTCTGGTTCACCTTAGATACATCATTGTCATCTTATGTTAGAGAATATTATCAATCACCTCTTAAGAGCATCACTTCCAAAGCCATTGAGTCAATGTTGAATTATAGCCACCCTATAGGACAGGTTAGAACTGCCCCTAATGCTCTAGTTTTGGATTAGATTAAATGGTAGATTCACATGTGATCAATATGTTAAAATGAAATAAGAACCATACATAAATCCATGGTATTATCATGAACCCGAAGTTACTATTCATCTAGTTCTCATTCTATGTACATGAGGTCTCTAAATTATCCTAGTCTATTTTACAGACTACCTGGATTTAAAGCCTGAGATTCATATGTATTATAAATGATAAGAAATGTGTTTCAGAATAAAGTATCTTGATTCCTTACCTCCAATTCTACTTTTTGTCAGTTCCTGTTGGAGAAGTAATAAATACAGTGTGTGTATGTGTTTCCTATAAATATTTATAGGGGATGATGGGAGGGCTTTACATTCCAGTAGCAAATTTCAAATTGTCAGCTGTGAGTGGTCAAAACAGTGTCAGTAAAAGTGAATTCTTACCCCAGTTTTCTCGTCGATTATTTTTATCCCAGAAAGTGAAATGTTGACCCAGATCCTTTGCTTGTGTTGTCCCTGAGAGCGACCAGCTGCAGCCATTCCCTGATGAGGTTAGGAAAGCAAGGACAATCTAGTTAAAAGTATCCCATAATACTTCTACCCTGGTTCCCCGAAAACAAGACATTATCTTATATTAATTTTTGCTCCCAAAGATGCGCTGGGTCTTATTTTCAAGGGATGTCTTATTTTTCCATGAAGAAGAATACGGTACACATTTATTGTTGAACAACAAAAAAGGAAATTTATTACGTGTCTACAGTACGGTAGTAGCTGTCATCACAAACCAGCATAACCAGACAAACTGTGAATCCTACAGTATCAAGAATGTCTTGTTACTCCTGCCCCGTGCGACTCACTGTCTAATTGTGAGTCAGCCAGACTCCGTCAGGGCAGAGCGAGCATCAGGCGGCAGCTTGTCCTGGCGGTGGTGCAGGCTCTCTGATTAAAAGAGACCTCGCACTTCCTGTCTGCTCCGGTGCGCTGCGGCCAACAGTGAGCTGCAGGATGGCACCCGCTAATACGGTCCAGAGTCCAGCATTACGGTTTCTTGAGGGGGGGGGCCTTATTATCGGGGAGGCCTTATTTTCAGGGGGGTCTTATTTTCGGGGGATGCCTTATATTTCAGCGAGAGGCAAAACTGTAAGTAGGTCTTATTTTCGGGGGATGTCTTACTTTTGGGGAAACATGGTACATTAAACCTTAAAAAGGTAGTCATCTTTGCCTTCAACCTGATTTTCCACGTAGGAAAGGAACATGGCCAGCATGAGGGCATTATATCAGAAGCTCTTGCTTGCCTGTATCTCAATTGTTTGAACGAAAAAGGTCCCCAATGACCCACAGAGAAGACAAGAAATTGATTCAGGCCATCCCGCTTAGTGATGGAACTTGCCAAGCTCATTCTAATTCTCTTGGTCTCAGAGCAATCATTGGTAAAGAGGATGAACCTGAATTTCTCCAAAGATGTTATTTTTAGACCATACATTACTGAACTAATTTTTTTCCCATATAGCAACAAACTAATAGTATTAGAATTAAAAAATTCAGAAGACCAAAGGGCACTAGTTTTCTGAATTCAAGCACACTCTCTTCCAAGGATTTGAAACCGGATATTTTGTCTTCTCTAAATAAAGTGAGGCAAGGATGCTCACATTTTCCACACAGCTTTTATAATTACTTACTAAGGAAAATATTCGGGACAGATCTTGTTCGCCCCAATATTGGCTCTGCCAAAAAGAAAAGGCATCCGGAAGCTACTAGATCTGGTTAAATTAGACTTCTAGAATAGTGCTGAAATATGCAAGCAAACGCCTGGATTCTCATAAAATGAGGCTGTCTAAGAACAATTATGTGATTAGAAAAGATTTTCTTTCAAATAATTGAGATGTAGGTAAACAAAAGCTTTTAAAATAACACGCTCACATTGGACAACTGCTTAAGATCCTGGCAATACTTGTGTCTTCAGTTTACCTTGAGTTTCATCATAGAGTCTTGGCTCATTTTATCCCCTCTTGCATCTGGCACCTCATCAATACCAATTAGCTTCGCTTTGTATTTTACACCATCACCCTTGAACCTGGCCAAGAGGTACTCATCAGTCTTTCCAGGGCCTGAAGAGAGAAAGAAATATAGGATAAAGTTTGTATGTGTATTTATGTTATCAGCCCAAAGTATAAGCAAACACATTCTAAAATCTCCAATTGTTGAGTCTTAGAATAAATCTTGATTATACTCCAATTGACTCAACTTTCAATATCCTGTCTTCTCTTCTTATTTCACATAAGTCCAAATTGGCTCTACACTGCCGTCTACAACCCGAGGGAGATACATGATTAACTCTTTCAGCTGCTAATCAAATGGCTGGCACTTTCTATCCATCCAGAAGGGGCCTTCGAAGAAAAACTGACTTCTGAAAAGCCAGCTACAGGAACCTGTGTGGGACACATTTCCGCTACCACACACGAGGTCACGATGAGTCAAAATCAACTTGTTGGCAACCGGATAGCCTCCTACTGTCTCTAGCATTGGAGCAGGTGGAAAAGAAATCTTTAAGATGCAAACTGGACAGAACCTGTGGGAGACAGACGGGAAAGTGTAAAGGGGATTTGAGGATTTTTTCATCAAAATTCATTTGAAAGGTTTACAAGGAGGGTCATGTACTTCTCTGGATGAGAAAATGAAACAAGAGCTGTCATATAAGGTACTGGCATTTCAAACTGTTAGTAGTCAGAAGGGAATGAGGTACAACTTCTTTTGCTTCCCTTTAAAAGCCTGTGCGGTCTCATTCCTGCCGTTAGTGCCCTGGTAAAAGGTTAAGCAAATCATGCCAACTTCTCAACTACGAATGATGGAGGACTCTGGGGCTTTAGATCAAAGGAGGAAGGTCTTTAAAAAACAAAAACAAAAAATGATCTCAATATTTAATGACAGCTACATCAAGAAAGCAAATGGGAACCAGATTAGCCCTTATCAAATGGCCATGACATTAATTACTAATGTATTCCAGCGGGACCCACACTGGTGTGATCTCAGCCTTCTGAGACAATGTATGGGTTTGTTTGGCCAATGTCTTCAGGCCCAGTACAGCTTCCCTGGTTGGGGCATGTTGTCAGCCTCTGTGAAGTCAGCGCCCGGTGAGCCTCCTGTACTGCGCAATCAAACATTGCCCAGTCCTGCGCCATCCTCACGATGGGGTGCTGATGGGACACTAGTCCAGTGTGATCCATGGAGGTTTTAGTGATTGATTTGGGGATGGAGTAGTAGTTTGCCTTGGTTAGAAAATGCTGTTGAAACCTGTTCTGCATCATAGCAACACAAAAACCTCCACTAACGATGGATGGTGTCTATGAATGCTGTACACTGGCTGGGGGTCAACCCCAGGCCTCCTTCATAAAAGGGTGAAAATTCTGGGGCAGCTGGGCACTAAATAGAGGTTGAATCAAGGCAAAAGGTCATCGGTGGCTGACCCATGAGTCTCAAAATTTGACAGATCTCGAAGGCTAATTCTAGCAACCTCCCTGACGTCAACACCATTCTCCCATACCTTTCTTCTTCTCCTTCTTGGATAGGACTTTGGGTGCAGCTTGTTGGTCAGGCTGACCATTGGTTGTACTTGATTCTACTTCGTTAGACATGGCAAGAGGGTAGGCAGCAAACCCCAGCACTAGCAGACACTCGGCAATACCAGGCAATTCCCGATGGAGAAGTCTCAAATGACCATAACCTACAAGCACCTGTAAGTAGAATGTAGAGGTAAAGGGAGATCATAAGGTAGCAAATCCAGCTTTTTAAAAAAAATCATTTTATTGGGGGCTCAAACAACTCATCACAAGTCATACATCCATCCATTGTGTCAAGCACATTTGTACATTGGTTGCCATCATCATTCTCAAAACATTTTCTTTCTACTTGAGCCCTTGGGATCAGCTCCTCATTTCCCCCACTCTCTAACCACATCCCCCCTCCCTCATGAACGCTTGATAATTTATAAATTATTATTATTTGTCATATCTTACACTGTGTCTAACATCTCCTTTCACCTGCTTTTCTGTTTTCCATCCCCCAGGGAG